GCGGGCTGTGTGGCCGCCGCATACGCCAGTCTGGCCCTGGCCGTCACTGGATGTGGGTGTGGTTTGTGTGATTCTCCGTGGGGAGACTTTTGGGGGGTAAACTTTAATCTGCAATGCAAGGTAAGATATTGATTTTGTATTATAGAATTGTGTTATGGCATCGATAAATTTATACTGAAGATCGTGTATTTTTTAACCGAATATTTGTTTGGCTGTTGTAATCCTTATGGGAAATCCGACTTATGAAATTTCAACGCAGTCTTACAGTAACGCAGTGGTTAAAATTTCAAGACTCGATAATCTTTATAGATAGTAGTTACAATGATTACCAATGGTTTTAAATATAAGAAAATTAATCAAAGATATTTGTTAGTAACTTACACTCAGTAAATCATACTTATTGGGTGTTCCAATAAAAATAAAAGTATCAATAATCGGATTTCTTTCAAATCGGCAAACTTTTCAATATTTAGACGCAGCCCACTGGTATATAGTAGAACACTTATTGTATATTATGGTGATGCCCACTGGTACAGTACGTAGTAGAATACTGTTGTACAATATATATAGTATAACCATACTCGCGTATTTTCGCGCTGTGTACACTTGCAGCGTAGGCGGATCTGGGAGGGAGGGGAGGGGGCGGCAGGGAGCCATGTTCCCCTTAGGGCCCTTAGACGAAATCTCGGGTCCCCTTGGATGTTTTGAGGCCCCTCTGATGTTGGAGCAGGACAGTGCGGCTCAAGTCTGTACTGATAATCACATTTAAGATGTTGGAAACATTGCTTCTTCAACCTTAGAAAATACCCCAATATCCAGTGCACAGTCTGTGGCATCAAAATGTCAATGGAATTGGTAAGATTTGAAAAAAATAATTCGCCGTTGACATCGGTGGTTCAGATAAGTAAGGTTTGGTTTGATAGTTTTTGCATACTTATGTAAATAAAGTGAAGGTCACCAGTGCTGCCATGGTGGAAAGATAATAGTTTTTATTTTCATTAATTGATCTGTCGTTTTATGTTTATTTTTCTACTTGGAGAGGGTGGACAGAAATATAAGAACGAGGAATTGACTACCCCCTCCCCCCACACACACACACAAAAAAAAACTATTTTGAGTGAAGCCTCGATATTACGAACCACAATACTTGGCCTCAATATTTAGTGTTTCCCAATTTTTTCTTACATAAACAAGAAATGCTAGGTCTTATTACAGTAAGTGTTACAAAGAAATTTCTTCGTGGTGTAGATTAATATAACCTTTTCCTTTTCTATTTTTAATTTATTTTTCAAATTTTTTCACCCCCCCCCCCTAGGCCTCGATGTGGGTCGATGACTTTTGCCCGGGTTGGCTATTCCCTGTATTAAACAAAAAATAATAAAAATGTATATGTGGCGGCCCCCCAGGCCTAAAGATAGGCTAGCTGGTTCGTGTCCAGGGTACCCATATTTCACCCAATTGTGAAAGGATACCGAGCTTTACAGCTAGGAAGTGAAAGTTGTTAATTGCAGTACTGACCACACTTCCTCCTTCTGTTCCAAGGGTTAAGACTGCTCTAAATTCCATCTTGATATGTTCAAGAGAGGGGCGCTCCTTAACTGACTACTGTTGGAAATTTCAACACAGAAGACAAATACCCACTTTCACCATGAAAAACCGAAAAGTAGACAAGAAGTGAGTTTTGCGTAATATTGCTTTGGCGATTGCATTGAGAGGCGAACTAGCAGCCTGTTAGTTTCTGTGAGTAAACGTTCGCCAGACTTCTTTTCAAATAACACTTTTTAGGAGATTAGAATAGGAGATAACTACTATTTATGATCGGTTAACTCGGTTCACTTAATGAGCAGTAATTTTTTTATTGCGCAATATCTGGTACTTCAGGAATGGTAACGGTTGCTAGATTTTCCGATTTCCATCGTCGAAAACCTACCTAATCTAACTTTATAAAATATAATGTAACCTCTTGCACCTTTTGGTCTTTCCGGGAGATAAATAGCATTTAATTAAGGCGAGCACCTCTCCAAAAGACCCGTTTTTTTTACGAAAACATAGGGATGCTTCGTGAACCTCGAATCTCGTTCCATTGTGAATTTCTTTCAAAACAGTGCCTCAAAGATAGAACTTAAATAGTGTCCCTTTTTTTTTAGTCCCCCCCTCCCCCTTTACAGGAACTTTAATACACCACTGAAACACCCTATATGGCCCAAGACACCACATCTTGCTTCTGATGTAAAAGCATTTAACGTGTAGCATTTAGTATACAACTAGGTAACTAGTTATGCATAGTTGCCATAGCCGTTAGTTACCATCTTGGACTTTAATTACAACAATATGAACAAGATTTTGTCCACTCTTGACAAAACAATGATACTGCTTACAAACATTGTAGTAGTTTATTATCTTATTTGATGAATAAAATTGGTATTCCTAAAGCATTTTGTTAGATGCAAATTATTGTGTGTGTGTGTGTGAACTTCAGCATGCAGGCGACCTCGCCCTTGTTTCTCCCCTGGTTCAGACACACCTCCACCATCCATCCAGCTTAACGGTACTATCCTCTCTAATGTTACCCACTTTCAGTATCTCGGCTCCCACCTGTCCACTACCGCAGACATCGGTGAAGAGATTCAACATCGGATCAGATGTGCATCTTAAGCCTTTGGCAGGCTCCCTACCCGTGTCTTCAGCTGTAGGGAGCTGATATTATCTACGAAGTTACAGTACACGTACTGTATATCGAGCAGTGGTCCTCCCCACCCTGCTATATGGCAGCGAGACATGAGTGATACAGGAGGCACCTCAAGACACTTGAAAACTTTCACCAACGTAGTCTACGTTCCATCCTTCGAGTTCACTGGGAAGACAAGAGAACAAATGCCAGTATTCTCGCTGACACCAACTGAAGGAGCATCGAGGCTATCATTATCCATGAACAATTACGTTGGATTGGCCATTTACCTGCAAAGGATAACGACGGAGGAATGAGCAATAATCTGAACAGATATTTTTCAAGTTTTCACCACCGAAAATTTAAACATGATAACCGAGGCAATGACTCTATACAGAGATAGTGGAGAAAATAGGTTAAGCGTGATAGTAGTGACTAGTAACGATGTTAGTGAAGCAAATAAACAAGCTAAATCCTAATACGTCACCAGGTCCCAAAGAGATATTTGTCAGCGTATTAAAGGAATGTAAGGAAGAGCTTAGTATGCCCTTGGCAAATTTTTTTAACATGTCAATTAAAATGGGTGTAGTGCCAGAATCCGGGAGGATAGCGAATGTGATACTGATTTCAAGAAGGGAGATAGATCACTATCCTCTAAATACCGTCCCATCAGTTTATCATCAATTGTAGGCAAATTGCTGGAAGCAATAATTTCAAACTATACAAAATCACCCGGAGAAGCACAAGTTGATCAACGATTCCCCAAATGGCTTAAAAAATGGGCGCTCATGTCTGACTAATCTGTTAACACTCTTTTCAGCTGTTTTTTAATCAGTGTACAACGGGCACACTTATGATGTGGTATACCTCGACTTTAGCAAAGCCTTCGACAGAGTCCCCCGCGAAAGACTAGTACAAAAAGTGGAGGCTCATGGGAATTGGAGGAGATATTCTAAAATGGATTAGGGCGTCGTTACAGGACAGGAAACAGCGAGTAAGCATTAACGGCACTAAATCCGATTGGGGTAACGTTACTAGAGGAGTACCCCAAGGCTCAGTACTTGGACCATTACTATTTATTATATACATTAACGACATAGGTATAGGCGTAGAAAGCAGCATAAGTAAATTTCTTGATGACACTAAAATAGGGCGTGTAATTAAATCCGACGAGGACTCCGTAAAACTACAGGAAGATCTATAAAAAAATCAAATGGTTTGAAAAATGGCAGATGTAATTTAATGTGGACAAATGTAAAGTACTTAGTTTAGGAGATGCGAACAGAGAAACCAGATATCAGATGAACAACGTTGTAGAAAAATCCAACCGAGAAAGATTTAGGAGTAATGATAAGTAGGAATCTTAACAAAGTCAACATTGCCTATTTGCTTAAAAGAAGGCCTGACAAAGTACTTGGTTTCATACAAAGAAGTGTTAGTTTCAAGACTAGCGAGGTTATCCTAAAACTCGACGTGTATAAATGGAAGTCCGGGCTAAACAAATGCGGTATAACAAAGGTACTCAAACTATCAAACCAGGAGGGAACTCGTAGCAATGGTTTTAAATTAGGCAAATTTAGATTTAGGCGCAAGATGGATAAACATTGGTTTGAAAATAGGGTAGTGGATGAGTGGAACAAGTTACCAAACATCATCATTAACTCGAATATGCTGGATAGCTTCAAACAGAGGTTGGATGGATATATGAGCGATGGGGGTTGGGTGTAAACGGGACAGTAGACTGCCAAAGCAGTTACATTACAGCCACCTAACGAATAGTAAACGTAACGCTAGCGGGCAACTGGAAAGGTATAAAGATAGTCTTAAGACAAACCTGAAAAGGTGCGAAATCGACCACCACACCTGGGAGACGATCACTCCACACTGTAACGCTTGGAGGAGCACCCTGAGAAGGTGCCAATAGTTTTGAGTTAACCCGACTGCATACCGAGGCAGACAAGCGCCAACTCTGGAAAGATGCTGCCGCCTCCCTTCCCACACTAGATGTAGCCCTCCACACGCGCAACAGCTATGGACGACCTTGCCGGTCCCGCATTGGCCTCTCGATTCACCTCCGAGCTCACCAACGATGGTAACATCCGTAATATCATTGTATCATAGCTGGATGATCGTCATACTCGATTCCGAGTGACAGCAAAGTAGTAGTAGTGTGTGTCCTAAATGTAGCATGGGTGGCCCAAGAACAAAAGGAAATAAAGAAAAAAAAAGGAGGAGGGTGCCCATGTTGTGCAGTTTGGAAGATGTTGGATTGGTCAAGGATTTGTTTCAACAGCTCATTTCGAGTGATATAACTGTTGCTGAAGTAATTAAGTGAACATCCTTTGCAGATTTCACACTGGATGTAGTCTCTGTGCTCAGCACAGTCGCCGTGCTGGCTGGCACACTAAAGATTTCAATTTTCTTATGTTTTTACATACATGGCAAGTCTTCTTCATAGAATCGGCCGACATCTGCCTCGGCGTGACCGATCAGCGCTGACACCAAGATAGATGCCACTTTCATTGTCGGCATCTGAGTGTTTTTATTATTATTTGATAAATAGTTTTTTTTATTGCGATCATCTGCAGGAACCCGATCCCGGTATTTGTACAGTGCGATCGTATCTTACATGTCTCTTCGGCTGGTATTGATGTGAGTATTTTCTTTTGCAAAGTGGATAAGTTGACAATGAAATTTAACAGATTGCATCGCTCGGTAGACGGAGGTCACGGCTTGATGACAGCTGCCGCTCAAGGCTGGTCTGGCATAAGCACCTACATAATATCTCCAGTTCCGCGTAGCGCTTCCGGTATGTAGGTTCATTTCCGGGAGAGGCAGCGGTGTGTGTATTGTTTACTGTTGGCTTCCCCCTCCATGAATCACTGCCATACCATTATATTAAAAACTAAACACCCAAGCGTGTCTGCCTCAGCTAGACTTACACCGGTTGGAATAAGTACTGTTTTGACAAACTTTATTTATTATCAAGTTTTAAAAATGTATTGAAACTACAGACTTGTGAATGTCAAACTATGCCAAATATCAAAATCACAAACTGTGTCAATGCTGCATTAAACGAACTTGCATGGAATTGAAAATGGCACCTTCGGCTGTGTAGTAGGCGTATTGTTTTATTAGCTCCCTAATGAAGCAAGTAATAGGCCTACTACACGCAGGTCAATATTCCCCCCAAAAATAATGAGACCTAACTGGCAGTGCGATTTAAAATGGTGAGGGTTTGGCCAGGCAGCGGTTGGGGGGCTCAGCTCAACCCTTTGATAAAAAACCTATCTCCGTCAAGCCTGGCACTTATGTATTTATTTTAATTTTATTTACCTTTTCGGGGATTAGCCCACCCGGGCGCATGTCACTGACCCACATCGGGGCCTGGGGGGGGGGTGAAAATGTAATAATAATTAGTTCATAGCAAATAAAATTTATAATACAAAATTAAAAATAAAATAATAACAACACTCATAATAATAATGATAATAAAGAACCATAAAGAAATAAAAAAGATCAATAGTGAGAAACGATATATGTATGTTGTGTTGTCTAAGTAAGAGAAATAATTGAGACCCTGCAATTGTGTGTAAATGTGGCAGAGTCAGATTAGCAACATGGGACTTGGTCACAATTTTCATAATGCCATATGGCAGCAGGGATTAGACTGCATTATGCTTCCAATATCTTCCCAGGCGGTAGTACCCCCCTGTTCGATAGCTGCCTACTACCTGACAAATAGTCTCCATTGATCTGTTACAGACGAGCACAGTACCCTTAACCTGTAAGCTGACTATAATAATAATTTGAACAAACCCACCCATCCAATGCACTGTATTTGCTCTAACACACATGTATAAATATGGGCATTGCTTTATTAGTTCTGTAAGTTTTGCTAACCTGTTGGCAGGCCAACAGTAATTACCACAACTGCTCTTGGTTCTCAATAATGCACATTGAGTTGATCCTGCAAATAGATTCCCTCAGTTTCAGCTTAACAGTGGTTCACGATATCATGTGTGTGAGATACACTGTACTGCACTGACTTTCGCATGCCTTGCCCTAGGATATTAAATTTTCGTTATCAAACGGTCAGTGGCTATCCAACTTTAGACATGAATTGAATGGAACAATATATCATGATAATATTGTCTAGACTCTAGAGAACCTGTGTTGTGTCATTTTGTTTCAGTGCTATGGCTATGATTTCGGCATCAAATTTTAAATATGGTCGCTTCCTGAAACGGATGCTGCATGCTGATGATAAACCCACCGGAGAGAGTCACTGGTGGCTTTATTTTCTAGAATCGTGAAACTTCGTGTACACACGTCTGTAGAATTTAGAGTAAATGCAACCGTGTTCTGATTCTCTGAAGTGATATTGATTACACATTACACAGTTTTACAAAGTAATTTCCTGGTAGTACCATTCTTTGTTTAACAAACTTTGTTAAGACATTATGTTATTTTACTCTTTAGAGGGCAAGGGTTTCTTTCAGCTAAAAAAATAAATCGTTTGTCGTTAATAAAATTCTTAAGTGTACCGCTGCCCTCTACAATCTAATCTTTAAAGGGTTAAAGTTTTAACCCTTTAGAGTTTAGGAAATGGAGAAGAGATATGGTTGTTACTGTTATCTGTCAGCAAATTGGCTACCCATTCACTACTAGTGGTTTATTAGCGTGCCGTGCAAGTTTATGATTTTTTTTTATAATATACGTGCGTGCGTGAGATGGTAGTGCTTGATAACCACAGAAATATAGTCCATTGGGTCACAAATATCTTACTTCTAAAGAACTTGCACTCGAGAATTCTGACTCAATTCTTTTAATTACATTCACATATGGAGATTCCAATCGTTTAAAAAAATCACTAGTTTGTATCCAAAGCCTCGTGTAAGAATTTGATAGATGTTTAATTCTTGGCTGAAATGTTTTCCACCTTTGCATATTCACAGGAATAGCCTATATTATTGCTGTCACTATTGTATAGACACGAGTACTTCCAGTTTATCCTGTACACTCAGTCGCCTGCTGGGGCAGTTGGGTTGGTCCATGTCTTTTTGTTGAAATTCCATTTTGTTAAATCTTTGCTTTCTGTGTACCCTGCGTTCCCATTCCGCTCAACACTTTAGGTTAATTAGGTGAAATTCAGCTTGTTAGTATTTTTGTTTAATAAATCATTAATATAATTAGAGCAATTCCTTCCTCATCCTGGGAAACCAACAAAATAGTAACGTTCCGTCTGATTGCATGTAGTTGATGAGCGTGTCCGGCCCACTTTTAAAGATTGCGGCACTGACATGATACTTATCGCCTCGATGCGGGAAAATTTTCTGTGTATTCTTCTTGTCTAGTGTAGAATATCTTGTGTTCTGAGACGGTAGATAGTCATAACGAATACCTGATGTACACCAGAAGACACTTACGCTATCACATCAGTAACATACACACCCGCCAGGAAATACCTGTACTTATTATACTGTACTAGGTCACTAATAAGGAACACCGTGCTAGAATACAGTTATGCTATGATTCCGATAGGTGATAACGAACACATACCGGGTACGCGAAAAAAATATGTACTGTACTGTACACTACTCATGACGAATGGTCACAAAAAACAACTTTGACATTAATAACGAACATGCACCAACAGACACAATTACTGTACAGTACTTGTACATTGATAACTAACACATGCCAAAGGCGCTGCTACCCAGAAAGAAAAATAATTGTTGGGAGCTAATAGCGAACACACACATACTCCAGAACCATTTATGTTTCGTTGCTACCAACATCCACGTTCCAAAAAAAAAAAAAATATTTGTTAAATATGACAGCAACAACGAATTAAATTTGGATAATAATAATAAAAATTTTGACCAGCTTCTTTCATTCGTTGTCCTTGTCCTCGCCATTTATGGTCTATTATGAGAGGTCGGACAGTCAGTCAGTTCTCAGTTGGGCATGTTGGTATATGCTGCGCTTGTACAGGCTTCAAAATGTGGCATAATTTTATGTCGTTCTTTTCCAGTTAGATTCACATCTCATATCGAGCTTGTGCTGTTAATGTGTCATTATACCCTACAGGCATGGAAATGGTGTTGTTGTTGGCGGTATTGGGGGTGACTGTGACTCTGGGCGGCCCCACCTCCACCTTCCTGATGGTAGAACGGGATCTGGCGCCTCCATACACTCATACAACACTCATGACGCCCGCCGAGTGCACCCTCGCCTGCTTCGCCTCCGGCATACCCACCTGTCTTGGCTTTGTCTGGCTACCCCTTCCTACCTCTACGGTCAGTGTTGCTGTTCTGTACCCTCCACAGTCACTGTTATTTACTTATTGTTATATCCTCTTTGTACTACTTAGATCAATATTACAGTACTGTATTATATTTTTATTGTATTATTTATTTTGTTAATGGTAATATCTCCCTCAGTCCTCGGCCATTGTTGTTGTTGTTAGTGTAGTGACGTACAGTATCAATGTGGGGCAATGCACTTGGATTTAGGTATTCATAAATACTGAGTGCATAAACGAAAGCATTAATTAAGGTCTCATCCCTCCCATACGACAGAATGGTGAGGATGGATGCGACAGTGGGCAGAAGTCTTGTAACACCGAGTCCTCAGGCGGGATTATGACAAAGGGTCGGTGTGGGCTCCTGCAGTGTGTTCCTAACCCCTTTACCCTCGTGTCCTCCCCTGGGGCACGCATCTACTTGGTGAGGGGTAGCTCCTCCCCCAAATACGGGTCTATCAAAGGTGCGAGTCTTATTTGTGTTTGAATGTCAATCTTCATTAGTGTCTCACACTATCCTAACAGAAGTCACTGTTAATCAGTACTGCACTGTTTTCTGCAAGTGTTTCATTTTATCTACAAGACACCAAAAATAGTAAGTCAGTTAAACTAAACGAATGCGGTACCTGGTAATACTTTACTTTGTCATAGTTACGAAAAATAAAGAAAAATATTAAAAAATTATTGGAATTTGTGGGTAATTTCAGTGTGTAAGGTTTAACATAGACTTTGATAAATAGACTACAGGAAAAAAAAACGAGTTTTGCCTCATAATTTGTTAAATGTTGTGTTACGTGGTTAATGACCTTCGTTGTTGAAACACAGTGATAACAATATAATAACAACGACTACAGAATTGAGAATAATTGCTTGGTTTGGGATTTATAATTTATAAAATAAAAAATTTGTTACGTCACAAGCCTATCAGTCACGTCTTTATCCAAACTACTAACCACATCACAATCCAAGCCACTAGCCACATCACTATCTCTGTTACTAGTCATACTACTAATATATCTCTACCACTATCAACACCACTGTCCCTGCCACTATCCACACCACTGTCCCTGCCACTATACACCACTGTCCCTGCCACACCACTGTCCCTGCCACTAGCCACACCACTATCCCTGCCACTATCCACACCACTGTCCCTGCCACTTGCCACACCACTGTCCCTGCCACTAGCCACACCACTGTCCTGCCACTATCCCTGCCACTATCCACACTGTCCCTGCCACTAGCCACACCACTGTCCCTGCCACTAGCCACACAACTGTCCTGCCACTCCACCACTGTCCTGCCACCCACACTGCCCACCACTTTCCCTGCCACTATCCACCGCTGTCCCTGCCACTAGCCCACACCACTGTGCCCTGCCACTCGCCACACCATTGTCCCTGCTGCCACACCACTGTCCCTGCCACTAGCCACACCACTGTCCCTGCCACTAGGCACACCACTGCCCCTGCCTCTCGCCACATCATTGTCCCTACCACTAGACACACCACTGTCCCTGCCACTAGCCACATCACTGTCCCTGTCACTAGGCACACCACTGCCCCTGCCTCTCGCCACATCATTGTCCCTACCACTAGCCACACCACTGTCCCTGCCTCTCGCTACACCACTGTTCCTAACACTAGCCACACCAGTCCTTGCCTCTCGCCACACCACAAGTGACATGTGGCAACCCAGTGACTCCATCATTGTGTCCCAGCCCCCAGCAGCTACACAATGGCGTGCACCTACGCCTACCGGGTGTTCAACAAGGTGCAGCTCACCTTCCAGGGAGCTGAAGACCGCTGTACTCAGGATGGTGCTCAGCTGATTGCTATAAAGGTGTGTACCTGTACATGACAGAGATTGTAGTATTGTATGTGTGTTTTCCGTTAAATTTATAATATGTGGGGTAAACATTGCTGCTCGGGCTGATGGGGGGATATATCGTCAGTAAATATTTAAACCATACGAAAAAATACAGTTGTGGCACTGAGCTGAAGCACCGAATGTGATACATTTAAACTTTGCTGGTTTAACATTTGTGGTTTTTTCTGTTTTTGTTTTTCATTTTATAGTGATATAATAATCTATTTAACCACCAACTATCACTGGCTGTATTTTCACACAACACAAGAGTACAAGACTTATAATTTTAACAGTACTTAAGTATACAATATAACTGGATCATTACCCTACACTGTCCTACCTCCTGCAGTACCTTATCATGTATGTCCCTGTCATCCGTATCCTGTACCCCACCACTAACACACCTGCTGATATTCCAGAGTGAGGAAGAGCAACGAGTGGTGAAGGAAAGCGTGCAGGAGGGGGAGGCTTACTGGATCGGCCTCAGTGACCGCCGGCAGGAGGGCGACTGGCGTTTGTCTGATGGTATGAACTCTTTCCTTCCTTCTATAGGGACTGTCTCCTGTTTGCTTTTTACTTTTTTTTTCAATAATTTCTGTTTCTTTTTTAGTAGAAAGGTTGTATCTTTTAGTCCCATGTCACACTGCAGCTAACATCTCGCATCATTCGTGTTTCGTAGTATTGTCTGTGGACACATGAGGATTCATGCAAATATATAGGATGATATATAAAAGTATCTAACCTTACAGTATATGGAAATATTGAGGACACATACCTGTAGAGTAAGTACTGTATAAAGTATTAATAATAAATGTGGATATGGGATGACACAACATTAACCTCCCAGAGAATGGTGTGACAACACCGCGTGCGAGTTCATTAAAGATTAGACTTGACCAACACCGGCATATGTTCAAGTACATTCTGGAGTCCCAACATGTCCAATACTTGCCAACAGTGCACTCAGAGAACAGACTGATTACCCGACCAGGGGAAAAGGTGATAAAAAATAAAAAAGTAAAGTAAAAATAAGGGAGTGTATGAATAATAACTTGTAAGTTCCTAAAATTACCTGAGTCTTTGTGAGTTGTTATGATGTTTGAGTACATTGCAGGTGTAATTTATATAAAAAAATAATTAATGATAAAATACTGTAACTATATAATGAAGTGATTTTGTAATGTCTGCAGGGAGTAAGCCAAGCTACGTCAACTGGGATATCGGGCAGCCCAACAACTATGTGAAGAGCACCAAGGACCAGGACTGTGCCATGCTCTTCCAAGGTGCCTGGAATGATAACCAGTGTGATCAAGAGCTCCGCTTCATCTGTCAGATCCCCTTCTTGGAGATTTGAATCACTTGCATCATGTCACCAGATCCAATTCTGGAGCACTGAGCCATCTGTATAATTCCACCGGTTATCATTTTCCACTTCTGGAGTTATGAAGTGTGTGTTTTACCTCAAGCTACCAGGACCCTTTCCTGGGGTCATGAACCATATGTGTCATATCACAAGCTACCATGACAGTTACCTTGAGCTCAGCAATATATCAAGTTACCAACCATCAAGTGTCTCTCTCAACTGTGGACCATTTGTGCTATGAGGCGAGTTATGGGACCCTTCTCATATATGAATGGTTCTGAAAATCTGGTAAGTTAACACACAAGTCCAGAATTGAATTTCTCATTCATGGTTTATCTTATAATTTTAGTTTGCTGTGTGGAGTAAAGTTCATGGAGCCAATAACCAATAGGTGGCATAGCAGCAGTAGTAACAGTAGTAGTAACAGTAGTAGTAGTCGTAGTATTAGTAGTAGTTGTAGTAGTAGTAACCCCTTTTTTATGGGGTCCGTCTGGGCTGAATAAAATTGCCTGGCGTTAATTAAATCAAATATTAAAAATAGCATCCCGTAATGAAGGAGTTAAAAAGCTAGTTTCTTACGGCATATTGCACATATATTCAGGGGGTAAGTAAGGTACAACAGTCAGTATGTAAGAGGAAGGAAATAGCAAAGTACATCTGTTTGAACCATTGTATGCTTAGTAGTGATGAGAATTTATGAAAAACATGAACATCAGGGTTTTTTCTTAAATTCGTAAAGAGTTGAAGTGTTTTGTGCGTATTGTCCTGTGATTACGGGAAGGCAATTCATTAAAAAGAAATTACAAATACTAATGCATGTTTGTAAGTGTGTTTTGAAGAAGTTTAATAGTGGGTGTAAGCAAACACAGTAAAGGAGGGCGGAAATACCCAGCAAAGAATACATTTAATTGGAGGATGAAATCCTTGGATAATTCTAAACCACAATGTCTCTATGGTATAAATGATACTTTGAACATTGATTGAATGGGGGCAGGATGATGGTTAGGAATTCTGGGATTGATGTTTCAACAATTGGAACATTGACAAATTTAATCAGTAGCCGAAGGAAAGAAAGCAATAAGTGTACTGAAAACATGGAAAGAGAGAGGGGGGGGGGTGTCAACATGTAAAGTTAGGGATGTCTAGAAGAATTGTTAATCCAACATTACGAAAGTGATGTGAAGCTTCGACTTTAAATGGTAGAGGATGAATCAGATAAGAAACAAAAGAAATGACATGTTTGAAAGTAATATGTTGGGTGAGTGGGATGCAGAGTAGTAAATAGAAGTTAGATGGAAATGTGTGGAGAGGAAAGTTTGTTGGACAGAAACCTGGCCTTGGTTAATTTCGAGACATACTGTACATTTAAGAGAATGGGGAGTTAGAGGGGATGAGAGAGTTAGATTTGGAAGTTTATGGTAGCAGGAAGAGGGATGGATGCACAGATAGGAAGTACAGTACCGTACTGTACTGTACAGTGTACATGAACAATTTGAGAGTATGGCATCAGGTGAGATTACTGGTATGTCACAGTAGTTATATACTGTACTGGTAAAAATCTAGATTGGGAAATAGAACTTGATTTTCAAAGTTGAAGGCCAAGGAATATTACGATGTATAATATACTATACAGTAGGTACATCATAAAATTCCCAGGCCTCCAACTTTGAATTTTTTTTGTTTTTTACCAGCACTGTCTATAACTACTGTAATATAGCAATAATCCCATTATATGTTAAAATTTTCACACAAAAATTGGCTTACTTCATTACATTGGAATTGATAAGCAAGTCTGTTATTCACTCTGAAGCTTAGTTTTCTAATACATGGTGAGGTATGCACAAAAAGTCTTGAGAACAGAGCCAATGGCTTTTTCGTAACGGTATATTGTCATGTGAAAATCAATCAAACTGAAATTCTTCAGTACAGTATATAAAATTTTAGCGTTAGAAAACCATCACACGATGCATTCACGGTCATTGAAATTTAAACCTTACTCATGCATGTACGTACGAGCATTAACATTGATGTAGGGTATACAGTATATAGTTTGTTACGTTTTTATAATAAAATAATATTTGAAGTATCTGTATGCGTAATTTTCCTCTTCGTCTGTTGTGAAGAAAAGATACTGGGAGTAGATTATTAAAGGTTGTTGAATGTCGGTGAATTTAGTTGCACCTGTACAGGACTTACTAATTCTCTTTTCCTAAGGAATGCTGTATAAAACTTAGCTGTGTTAGTAACACTTAATATGGACTAATTGTATGACTGTGACTGCAATTAGTATAGAATGTATTCATGTTCAAGTACTTAAAGCAGTGATGGACAACCGAAGTTGGTGGGTCGCATGAGTGATCCTCCCTTTCAACATACCAGAGGGGCGCTTCCTTGAAAAAATTGATCAAACCCAAAAGAAAAAGCTAGAATATATATTAATACATTTGCATGTTTTATCGCATATAGAATAAGATGTCCCGTAGCACATTGATGCCAGTACTGAGACGTGTGACTCACCACCAACCCCTATTGCCGTATTAAAATAATGTAAATGTGTTTTATAATTAATTATATAAAATACATAATTCGCAAATTACCTGAGTAGCAATGAAGGTAATTATAAATGTAGAATATACTTATTAATGAAAAGGAAATACTATTTAATATTGGCAACTATTGGTTGCCGCGTCAAGTGCGCCCATTGTCAATAAAATTGTTATACGCATGGACAACTGGCGGTTTGGAGAATACTGGCCACTTCGCCTTTCGGCTATTTCGGCCGCATGGACAACGATCAACGTAACCTCTATGGGCCACAGGTCCACCACTGACTTAAAAGCTTCTTACCATATTCTGTATGTCATTTCTCCATTGCTGCATGTGTTATTGTAAAGGCTGTAGAGTATTTCCAAGTATAGTCATATAACTTATGTGGATTTTACTTAGAAACAGAGTCCAACGATAAAGTGCCACAGATAATTATATTTTTATATAGTGTACACAAGTACCTTGTGTTCGAAGATAAAGTTTGCAGTCCTTGGTAAGTGAAAATATCTTTATTGTAACTGCCAATAAGAATCAATTTTGGTTGTATGTTGAAGTGTGTACCATGTTCGTGTTAGTCTCTGCTCTCCTTTGGGTGTTATACAACAGGAAGGGGTGGAACCAAAACCTTTCCCCCTACCCTCTATTGTTCAGTATGTTTTCGTTATGTCCTCTACACGTGCATAACACTGTAACAGCCCTCCCACAGCCACTATTCTGGTGAACTCGGTGTTTCACGATTAAATGAAATTAACATTGTTGAAGTTACATTCTTATACTGAGTAACAAAGGCTGATAACTATACAATTTCCTCCATTTTATTTTGTTTTAATAGTTGCTTCCATTATGCGCAGCTAAATCTGTGGGAGGTGGGGTACCTGGGTCTGAATTCTCATATTCATAAACCTAAATATGTACAATATTTCCCTTTACTTCGGATACGAGAGTTTGTCATATAAATCACTTAAGCAAAAACGTACTATATCATTGTCATTTTTTTTATGTGACTGTCGATGATACTTCCGAGCCTTTATTAAGCTGAACATTCTTATCAAGACTTGTTTCATCACTGAAAGTTTTATTGAGATGCCAAGATGCAACTTCTACTACGAAGCCTGTAAAGGAATGCCAATGCTGCTGGACGCCCTGCTTGATGTAATTATTCATGGTGCTTGGATGTGTGAAACGGCACAAAATTGTGAAGACAAAGGTTAGGTTAGGCTAGGTAAAGTTATGTTAGGTAAAATTAGGTTTAGTTAGATTGGGAAAATTCCGTTTGGTTAGGTTAGGTCAGGTTTCGTTAGGTTTGGATTTTTTGTATCTTTTTTTTTTGGGGGGGGGGGTTACCATACAATTTTGGTTGAGTTGGCAAGGTTTTCGTGAATTTACCCAAGATATGAATATGAAATCCATTCAAAACATTCCTTGCCTGGGCCTAGATCCCCTAACGATTTACGATCACCGTAAGTCCATATGATCAACCTTGAGGTTGAACGGGTGATTCACTTCAGCCCCCGATACATTCTTAGTTCTGGCTGTCAGTTCGACTGCACAAACCGGTTTGCGCAATCCAGTTTGTGCATGTGTGGGGGTAGTTTGAATTAAAAGCATGGTTCGTGAACTGTACTGAATGCTTGAAGGAACTACCTAAAAACTAGCCTGCAATTCTCGTGGCCAGGAGGTCAGCTTAAGCCTGTGTGAGCTTGCGTGCAGACCTTGTTTCAGTTGTGGCCTGACGGTCCTGATCAACGAGGTGGGGGGTATACAGTCTGGGTCAAAAGTTCGCCCCCCCCTCTCCCCCCCCCCTCCCTAAAAAATGGAGCAGTATCGACCCCAAACGAGATACAGAGGTTAGGGTAAGTCAGTTCGGATACTCATTCCCTTGATACAGTTTCACTATGGATGTAAATTTTTGTCCGCGGCTGTACAGTACCAAGGATTCTAACACTAGAAGGAAAGCCCACTCCAACGGGTGAACGCGTTCACCGCCCAAAGTGACGCCGCCAAGCAGTTGGGGAGTATACTAAATAATTACCCCGACGCTGGAACCTCGACGCACACATTCAAAAGAGCCAACGTAAGGTTAGTTTGAGGTCGGATAAGTTAAATTAACTTCAAATAAGTTTCATCATAATAAGTTTGGTTAACATAACAATAGGCAGATGAGGTAATGTCGAATTTTCTTTTCTTGTGCTTATTATTGAATGATTTAGAAATCGTTTGGGCATGTAGGAATTGGTTTGGGTAAAACACAATTTGGAGCCGAGTCTTGTTGATTTTTGTACGTATAAAGAAGGAAAAACATTGCTTATTTTACACTTAAGTGAGAAGGTAGTCACTTTTCTGTGTTAACGTTCAAGAGACGGCTAGACAAATGCATAGCCTATCAAGGTGTCCCTTACCAATACTAAGCTCTAGGTGTTTTTTTTCTTTTTAGGGGGATTAGCCCACCCAGGCACAGGTCAATGACCCACATCAGGGCCTAGGGGCGAAGATATAATAATAAGATTAAATAAAAATGTAATAATAATAATAAAGACCCATAAATAATACAAAAATTAAAGGTGAGAAACTATATGTATGTTGTGTTGTCAATAGTAAGAAAAACAACTGAAACCCTGCAATTGTGCAAATGAGGCAGAAAATGTCAGATCAGCAACCTGGAATTGGGTCACAATTTTCGTGATGCCATATGGCAGCAGGGTCTACCATTAGACAATACATTATGCTTCCAATCTCTTCCCAGGCGGTAGTACCTTCCTGTTTGGTAGCTGCCTACCATAACCGCCAAAATCCCGTTCATATTTGGTTCGGTTACTCAACCTTGCAGTTTTTCGTAACGTTGGGACGTGATTTACTTCAACTGTTTCACGAATAAAATGCATTATCTTGCAATTCAAAATGCTGTGTCCAAATAGTTTAACATCATCTAAAAATGGATAGTATCTGACATACTGTTATAATCCTCCTTTCACCGCTTACCCAGCTTCCACCACTGGTTACCAGCGGCTAGGGTCGTATGTATAGAAACAGTAGATATCTCAAGTGTTGTCGAATTACCACTGGCTGTGCCGCCAGTCTCCGGTAATTTCCCGACGATCGGTATCAGTGTACAGACAAACAACAGGCAGGTAGATTTCCACCAGGTCCCAGAAACACACTTGTGCACTGTAGTCTTCTTTAATAAACACCAATTCTTCACAACACTGTTAACAGGGTAATGTCTTCACATTTTTGCTCTACACTTCGAATACGAGTATATAAGGCGTTTATTGTAGATGCACAGAATAACTAACGCATTAGCTACTCTGTCTGCGCAGACGCTTCTGCTAAGTTCTGTGCACGACACCTTGAGGGGAAAAGCAAACAATTTGATGGGGCGCCGGAATAGCTAACAACTAATCAGCGAGTTTCTCCAGTGGGTAAATACGCGGATCATGACCGCTTACGGAGAAGACAGTATTTTGGTTAATATTGAAGAGTTGGGGGCATGAAAGGCAATAAAAAACTGATATAATAATAAAAATAATTCTATATACGGTAGTATATTGGATAGGACCTAAAACAAAGCATACAGTGTGAAAGAATTGAAATTGATAGTGCCTAGTTGAAACCTGTTTTGGCTCCGCCCTTTTATAAGTGGGCGTTGTCCGATTTCATTAGCAGTTGGTGACTTTGGTGTAACAATATTGATAATTACTCAAATATGATTGAAACCTTAATATTATTACTCATCAGATATTTTAAATAAGGGCGAACAAGTTAATTACAGTTCAGTAAGTGCAAAAATTCAGACAAACGAAACTGAAATTCGTCTTATTTCGTGTATAAATATGCGAACACGTAGCCACTAGAGATAACATGAGTAGTGGAGCAGCTGCTCTGGTTGTTAGATGTGGTTTCAGAGTCCTGGAGAAATTACCCTTACAAAGGCTCAATTTTTTTTTATTCTTATTTATTGTTGACTGATTGACTTTTTTCTTTTTTTCTTTCATTCCATAATTTTCGATATATTTTCTTCACTATTTATTTCCGTATTGTGTCCAAATAACAGTTCTCCTAATTTTATTGTTTTCTGAAGACTGTGTTGTACAACAGTTATTCCCAAGACGGTCATATTTTGTAATGACAGTCCGGGAAATCTAACGCGTTAGCTATTGTGCATCTACAAAAAACGCGTATAGTCAGCACACTACCAGAGTACAATTCCTTAGTCTTCTCACTTAAAATTAATCACAACAATTCCACAATACTTGCACAAACAATTGCCTTCAGTTGTTCTGCTAGGTTTATTCTTTACACTATGAACAGAAGTGATCGACTAACTCCACTAGGCAGCCCACGGCCGTTTATACAGTACACTATGTATATGGTTCGCCAGACGCTGAGAGCATTTTAGAGATGTCCAGACATAAGAACATAAGAAAGTAAGGAGTCTGCAATAGGCCGGTTGGCCTGTGCATGGCAGCTCCTGTCGAGAGTTACAACCACTATCTATCTAGCCTCCTTTTAAAAGTTCCAGCATTCCAGCACTTACTACAA